GAAGGTGGAGGATTAGCCAGTTGCGCCATCCTGCCAGAGCCTACCTTAACCCTGTAGCTGGTATCTGCCCGAGTCTCTCCCCCTCATGTTGCAGGCAAAGATGACGCTGGATTGTTTCTTCACTTTAATCTGTTGTGATCACTGACACATTCTGAGTTTTTGTGACCACCTTTATTTTGTGTAATTTTCCTTTTAGAGTTTTTATTTCTTTATTCTCTCTCTTGTAAATGATTTAATTTCCCTGCCTTCACCCCTAGCTCTCTGATCCATCATCTCTTTCTCACTCACTGGTTTGGAAGACACAGCAATATTTGTTATTTAAAAAAAAAAAAACTTATCTGCAGTCTGCCACTGTGGTCCAAAAATATTAAATGAGAAATTCCGAAAATAATCAATGCTTAGGCTTTCATTTTCACACTATTCTGAGTGGTGTGAAGAAACACTGCACCAGGCACCGTTCCTCTTGAAGCAGCAAGCACCTCTCCACCAGCCCTGCTTCAGATCCCTCAGCAGCTGGCACAGTGATCACACCCACTGCAAGATCCTGGCGTTCACGGTCAGCTAATGCACAACAAGCACCCACAGCTGGGACCTGCAAGGACAGACTCACACTGTGCCGTGTGGCAAAGCTGCAGGGCACAGAGAACACCAGGGGCGGTGGGTGGCCTAGCAGTTAAGACCTCTGTGTCCCACACACACGGGCTCACCTTTGGTTCCAGTTCTGACTTGATTCCTACTCATGCAGAACCTGTCAGCCCACTGCAGAACCGAATTAAGTTCCAGCTAGCGCCGTCTACGTGGCTCTGTTATAAGCACGGCAGAGAGACTCGGTAAACAGGAGCCTGTGCTTTTGCCTTCACGTCTCTGTTCCTCTTTTAAAATTAAAACAACAATTCTTACTAAAGGAAAAAATATAATACAGTCACGTGCTGAAAAGGTTTTGACCAATGCTGGAGCAGCCATACTTATAAGGATAGTCCCACAAACTTACACTGCCTAATGATGCTGTAATGACACATGTTTGCACAAGAAAATCGCCTAAAGATGCTCTGCTGTGAGTCTGTCTCCACCGTTAAGGGACACAGAGCTGCACATCCAGCACTCGGCGCTTCGCAGGTCCCAGGCATCCTCCGGGGGTTGGAAGACAAGAGTGCCCTGTTGCTAGCCTTTCATACTTAACTCACGATCTAAAGTTAGCAATACAAAAGTACTTCCAAGAGTTCATGGAAAATCAAATACACAATCAAGTTTATTTTAGTGCCCAAAGTTTTGCTGATATGCGTGCACTCCTTTTAACAACATCCATTCCCATGAACTTGAGGCATGGATTCCAACCAACTGCTCTGCACCAAAACACACTTCTCCTCTAATCCATCTTCCACTGGCGTGCCGGCTCTCGTTGCGCCCCCACGGGTGCACCTGCTGCACCCGGCGGTTCTGGCCCTCTCACTGTCTCCTCCGTCAGTCTGCGTTCTACACATCCACGTGTCTACAACTGTCGTCCTTCATTGTCCTTCTCACATCTAAGTTCTGAGCTTATTTTCCTTCTTAAAACTAATTTTTGAAAGTTGGGGCCTTCTGGTGTCACCACAGGTTGTTAGTTTTCTCAAAAAATCTGAAATGTCTAATTTCAGCCTTGCTCGTAAAAGGCAGTGCCTCAGGGAACTCCGATGCCAGCTCCTCCTTCTCAGCTCTGACCACTGCTATTCCACATCCTCCGGATTCCACCACCGAGACTCCAACGGCCATTTCTTTCACAGACATTCTCTCTCTTCTGAGTGGAGGTTACAAGTCTGTAACTTCACTGTCTCTAGGTATAGATTCGACTTTGTTTCTCCAGTTTGGGATTTCCTGGGAATACCAAATCCAAAGATTCAAATCTATCAGCTCTAGAAAAGTCTTACCCCTGGTGTGCCCATCTAGCACGGGAGTGTTCGAGTGTGGGAGGCAGTGGGTGATGGCTCAGGACCTGAGTGCCTGCCACCCAGGTGGGAGGATCCACGTGAGTCACAGGGCTCAGCCGGGCCGGGCTCTGGATGCTGTGAGCGTATGAGAAGCGAACCAGGACACTGAAAATCCATCTGCCTATTTTCCTTGTCACTGTCTCTTTCTTGGTTTTCAAATAAGTAAAAAACAAACAATCTCAGCCTTTACCTTTTTGATGACAAACACAAGGGAACTTCAGAAACTCTCAAAAAAAACCAAAATTTAAAAAGTGGGTATTGGGTCAAGCACAATAGCTCAGTGACTAACTGTGTATCTTGCAAGCCAAGAATCCCTGATTCGTGTCCCAGCTGCTAAATTTCCCATCCAGCTCCTTGCTTCCACCCTGGAAAAGCAGTGGAAGACGGCCCAAAGCCTTGGGACCCTGCACCTGCATGGAAGATCTAGAAGAAACTCCTGACTCCTGGCTTGGGATCGGCTCAGCTCCAACCATTGCAGCTACTTGGGTAGTGACCCAGCAGATGGAAGATCTTTCTCTTTCCTTCTCTCTGTAAATCCGCTTTTCCAATAAAAATAAGTAAATCTTTTTTAAAAACGTAAGTAGATTTTAGTGCAAAATATCCTGAAATCCTGCGCCGGCCCTGTTGTGGCCTGCTATATGTTGCACTTTGGCCCATGCACATCATGAAGTAACATATTCTTCTCTGCATATTGCATTCTGGGTGATTTCCTTGGGTCTCTCAATTTGTCAATTCCCACTTCTGATTGAATTTTCACTTCTAAAATTTGTATATGGGTGTTTTCCAAGTACACTCACCTGTTTCCACAATTGTTTGCTCACTATTCATCTTTTTAATTCCCTCTTGTTAAGAATGTATTTACGAGCCCAGCGGCGTGGCCTAGTGGCTAAAGTCCTCGCCTTGAATGCTCTGGGATCCCATATGGGCGCCGGTTCTAATCCTGGCAGCTCCACTTCCCATCCAGCTCCCTGCTTGTGGCCTGGGAAAGCAGTTGAGGACCCAAAGCCTTGGGACCCTGCACCCATGTGGGAGACCTGGAAGAAATTCCTGGCTTCTGACTTTGAATCGGGGTAGCACCAGCCATTGCGCTCACTTGGGGAGTGAATCATCAGACGGAAGATCTTTCTCTCTGCTTCTCCTCTTCTCTGTATATCTGACTTTGTAATAAAAATAAATAAATCTTTTTTTTTAAAAGATTTATTTTTTTATTATTTTTTCATTGGAAAGGCGGATATACAGAGAGGAGAGACAGAGAGGAAGATCTTCCGTCTGATGATTCACTCCCCAAGTGAGCGCAACGGGCCGATACTATGCCGATCCGAAGCTAGGAGCCTCTTCCGGGTCTCCCGTGCGGGTGCAGGTTCCCAAAGCTTTGGGCCGTCCTCGACTGCTTTCCCAGGCCACAGGCAGGGAGCTGGAAGGGAAGCGGGGCTGCCGGGATTAGAACCGGCGCCCATATGGGATCCCGGGCGTGCAAGGCGAGGACCTTTAACCACTTGCGCCACCGCGCCGGGCCCATAAATAAATCTTTAAAAAAAAGAATGTATTTACGCTGTTTTTTTGAATTTAAAGAAAGATGCCTGCACAGATCTCCCACCTCTGACTCCCTCCCCAAATACCAGTACTGCCAGGAATGGGCCAGGAAAGGGCCAGGAAAGGGCCAGGAGCCAGGAATTCTGACCAAGCCTCCCTTGGAAGCAAGAGACCCAAGTCTGGGATCCCTCACCTGCCACCTCCCAGGGTGTGCGTCAGCAGGAATCCAGAATCGGAAGCAGAACCATGAGCTGAGGCAGGAAGTTGATAGGGGATGCGAGTGGACAGTTTTGCTGCACCTGCTTTTGACTGTTACTCATGGTAACTCTTCTCGAGACCAGTTCGTGCTTTGTAATCAGAAACTCCTATTTCTTGGAATTTTTCCCTATGGAAATTCTCTAAAGAGTGGGACGATGTGTGTTCCCTTCTGAATGTGCTGTATCGACCCATGTCGATTTCATTTCATGCAATTTTTGGCTCCTCTCTCTGAATCTCACTCATAGCATCAATCTAGACCCTAAATCCACACAAAAGTGACTCAGCAAAACCTCAGAGCTGACTTCACTTAGGGGGGGAAAAAAAAGGCCCCAGCGCGGCCACCTAGTGGCTAAATCCTCGCCCTGCACACACCGGGATCCTATATCAGCGCTGGATCTATCCCAGCTGCTCCACTTCCCATCCAGCTCCCTGCCTGTGGCCTGGGGAAGCAGTCAAAGATGGCCCAAAGCCTTGGGACCCTGCACCAGTGTGGGAGACCCAAAAGAAGCTGCTGGCTCTGGATTGGCTCAGCTCTGGCCATTGCAGTCATTTGGGGAGTGAACCAGCAGGCAAATCTTTCTGTCTCTCCTTCTGTTAGTCTTCCTTTCCAATAAATAAATTTTCAAAGAAAATCCCATGGCCAAAGCCAAAGAAATAAGAGTATTGTTCTTGGATTATTGAATGCATGTTTTTCCATTTGTTCTTGCCTCACGTGATCTCAGTGCAACCCTCCAAGTGCCAAGGCTCACCGGTGAGTGCTTCCCCACAGCCTCCATCAGGACACACACACAAGGCTCCAACACAGGAGCTGGAAGTCACAGCTCTGAGCCGTCGCCACCCACTGGGGCAGCTAACATCACGTGCAGAGCACTTGCTTGACTAGGACACCCCAGCTCTAGGACAGGCAGAGTATCCGGCTTTCCTGTCTGAAACCTTGTGAACTTCAGCATTTCATTGTCCAGCACATTTTGGCAAATATTTTAGGGACTGACATAGTGTTCCAACATTGTGTTAATACAACAATAGGGAAAACAGGTTTCTTTACCTCTGATGACATTACTGTATAGAATATAACACTGAGAAATGTATATAAAATTTTCAAAAATAATATCAAGATTTTCCACGTAATGACTGTGGCTCTGAATGGGCCTCTGGCTGGCACCTGCGGTCACTGCACTGGAGGGGAGAGAGGTGGGCTTCTCCCTCCCGGAAGCCAACAGCTCAGCAGGAGCTGGCTCTGCGTACCTTTTCTCGGAGGAGACGCCGTCGATGTCCATGCTCTGGGAACGGGAGAGGGACTGAGACTGGGTCTCCAGGCTGTTGGAGGGCGAGCTGCTCAGAGAGCTGACTCCTTCACTGCTCTGGCTGCGGTGGGCCACTCCTGCAGAAAACACACGAGAATGAGCCCCGGGCTCTGGCCAAGGCCACAGCAAACGCGCGCAGCCTGCATCGGGACACCTGGCTGCCACAGAATTTCCATCGGAAATCAAGGCTGGAAGAAATCCGAAATCACCGGAACAGTGGTCAGCATCGTAAACCGTCAGCTCAGCAACTGCTTCCAACAATTAAAACTGAATCCTTGTCGGTTCTTTCACCAATTCAAACTTTGGTCCCTAAACACAAATCAGCTTCTAAAACAGCCCACCCCGACCCCTGCCCCTCTGCCCAGGCAGACCCAACCCTCTCCATCCCAACTGGTGGCCTGCATGGTTCTGTAACTTCCTCACCTTGGTAACAAGTTAAAAAGAAAACTAAAGAAAAAGGGTCCAGCACAATGGCCTAGCAGCTAAATCCTCACCTTGATTCTACCAGGATCCCATGCGGGCACTAGTTCGTGTCCCAGCTGTTCCACTTCCCTTCCAGCTCCCTGTTGGTGGATTGGGAAAGCAGTCGAGGACTGCACAAAGCCTTCAGACCCTGCACTCACATGGGAGACGCAGAGGAATCTCCTGGCTCCTGGCTTCAGATCGGCTCAGCTCCAGCCATTGAGGCCACTTGGGGAATAAACCAGGGAATGGGAAGATCTTTCTCTCCAATAAATAAAAATACATAAATCTTTTTTAAAAATTAAAGAAAAAGACCAGGACTAGACAGACACATGTGAACCCCTCAGGGACAGTATGGCACGAGAACGGCAGGAACTAGATGGTGGCACACAGGTGTTTGCAGCAAAACTGCTCCTACGCCATTGTAGGCTTGAAATGCGCATAATGAAGTGAGAAGAAATGCAAATAGTCTTAACTAGGTGATGTCCTTCCCAAGGGCCCACGCCTTGCGACCGAGCATCTGGGGGGAAGCTGCAGCGCAGTGACACTGCCCCGACAGCGCCGGAGGATTCCAACAGACAACGTCTCGTCTGAGGTCTTTAAAGATCATGCTTTTCACAGCGTAAAAAACAAAATTCACTTATTTAATGACAAGTAATAGAGCAAAAGGGGACACACACACACACAGCTATTGGGTGCAGACAGTGACAGCCAGCACCCCTTAACAGTGGGCAAATGGGATGTGGCTGTGTACCCCACCCTCTGTTCATGGAGTGGGCGAGTCAGTGAAGATGCTATAATGTTCCTTATATTTCTAATTATGTACTCTCAAAAGATGTTAACGTTCTTTATATTTCTTTCAAAAGAGTTCCTGATGGTGGGGCCTAACAGCAATGAAACGTTAATTCCATCCTCAGGGAGAAGCCCCAGCGTCTCCCGCCCTCCCACCCTGCCTCCGGTGACCGAAGTTAATCAGAAGTATTGCATTCTATGATAAGACATTAACCCCTGACTAGTGCCACACAGGGCAGCTGCTCCGGGGGAGCTGCTGTCGCCAAGCTTGGCAATAAAGACTCCTCCTAGCATCCTACACCAGGTCCTGTGTGATCTCTCTCGCACTCCACCACACACCTCATCTAGCAGCTGGGCTCATTAACTAAATGCCTGCTACACCCTGAGCCAAAACCTCCACCCTGGTGTCCCACAAGGGCGACAGGGACCCAGGCGCCTGAGCACGTCCGGCTGCCCTCCTGGGCACATTCGCAGGAAGCTGGAGCGGAAGTAGGGCAGCTGGGACTCCAAAAAGCAATCCACTATGAAGCGGATGTCTCATATGGTAGCTTTACCTGAGGCACAAAGTCTAGCATTTTTTTTTATAAAGACTTACATATTTTACTTGTAAAGTCAAGTTTCAGAGTATAAAAGAAAATTTTTCCATATACTGATTTACTCCCCAGTTGGCCACAACAGCCAGCCAGGTCAAGGCCGCAGCCAGAAAATCGACCTAGGTGTCCCATGTGGGTAGAGGGGCTCAAACACTCCAGCATCGCCTGCGGACACCCCCAGGAGCATCAACGGGGGCGCTGGCGGCCAGGCGTGGCCTCCTAGCATTTCCGTAACTATTCCAACTCTACAACTAGCCTATTACCGACAACAACCAAAGTAACTTTAGTCAGGTGCAGGTAAGTCTCTCTCGCGCTCTCAGACTGGCACGTTCAAAGATAAGGTCAAGGCAAAGACCAAAAAACCCTTAACTCCTGGTTCGAACAGAGTAAACTCGCCACACTTGAATACACCTTCCTTTAGAACACTTAGCAGTTTCTGACAGCAGTTCTCTGACTTGCTTTAAAATACAAATTAAATTGCCACAACACATTAACAGCAAAACACATCAAAGCAAAAGAACAAACACTACTCGTTCCAAGCCACAAGCACACTCCTGCCGTCCGCATGCTCTCTCCTGCCTTCCGTGAGAAGCCGAGGTCAGGCAGCCAGCTTTCCAGGACCACGGGTTACTGTTTCTTCCTTCCTCTCCACAAAGCCAGACAATAAAGAGTTTTTTAAATCATCTGAGCCCGGCACAGGAGCCTAGTGGCAAAAGTCCTCACCTTACACGTGCCGGGATCCCATATGGGCGCCAGTTCATGTCCTAGCTGCTCCACTTCCCATCCAGCTCCTTCCCTGTGGCCTGGGAAAGCAGTCGAGGACGGCCCAAAGCCTTGGGACCCTGTAGTGACAAACCTGAAGAGGCTCCTGGCTCCTGGCTTGGGATCCGCTCAGCTCCAACCATTGCAGACATTTGGGAAGTGAACGAGAAAACAGATCTTTCTGTTTCTGCTCTCTCTGCAAATCTGCCTTTCCAACAAAAATAAAATAAAACTTTTTTCAAAATACACATGGACAAAGGGCCCAGTGTTGTGGCACAGCAAAGTTAAGCCACCCATCTGCAAAGCTGGCATCCCATATCGAATCCAGTCGAATTCCAGCTCTCCACTTCTGATCCAGCTCCCTGCTAATGCACCTGGCAAAGATGGCCCAAGTGCCAGGGGCCCTGCACTGACATGGGAGACCAGGAAGAAGCTCCTGGCTTCTGGCTTCACACAGGCTCAGAAGACAGATCTTGTTGTGTCTCCCATGTGGGTGCAGGGCCCTAGCACTTGGGTCATCCTCCAATATTACCTTTCGAGGCCATTACGAGAGAGCTGGATCAGAAGAGGAGCAGCTGGGACACCAACTGGCACCCGGCTGGGATGCTGGAGCACCAGGAGGAGCAGTCTGCTACGCCGCAGTGCAGGGCCTACTATATAAAGCTTTACAAAGAAAGCAGCAGCAGCGGGTGCTTAGCGCAGCAGTGACGGCTGGGGCGCCTGCCCCCCAGGACAGGTGCAAGTCCTGACTCCGCAGTTCTGATCTGCATTCCCACGAGTGTGAGCCTGGGAGGCAGCAGGTGAGGGTTCAAGTACTCGGGTCCCTGCTGCTCCCAGGGAAGGCACAGGCTGAATTCTGGACTCCTTCCTTCAGCCTGCTTCCCCTGGCTACCACAGGCATTGGAGGAGTGAATCAGTGGCTTGAAGATCTCTACTTCTGCCTTTTTAACAGAATAATGAAAAATACAATTTGAAATGCAATCAAGATAGCGATGTACCCCTTCCTGGCATAATTTGCTCAAACATATTCTTTCTACAGCAATTATCACCATCTGACAGGAGTTCTGAGATTGTTTGTTTTCTGCCAGCAAATTTAAGCAACATGGGCTACAACAGAGCCTAACACGCGAAAGATTTAAATAAATATGTGTTAGAGGAAGGCTGCCTGAATTTACAGCACTCAGCAAGTCACTGGTAGCAGCCAACATAAACTAAAGCAGAAGCCAGAGCAATAAAACACATCCAGCACAATCAGGACGACAGCACTCAATAGGACAGGGATGCGCTCCTGGTTTTTTTGTTTTTGTTTTTCTTTAATTTAAAAGCAACAGGGTCTGTCCCGCGGCATGAGCCTCATTGTGCTGTCCGCATCCAACAAGGACACTGCTTCAAGTCCAGCTGCTCCACCTCTCATCCAGCTCTCTGCTAATAACCTGGGAGAGCAAGGGCAGAGGGCCCAGGTCCTTGAGCCCAAGAACTCACTGGGGAGACCTGGAAGAAGCTCCAGGCTCCTAGCTTTGGACTGGCCCATCTCCAGCTGTTGTGGCCACCTGAGGACTGACCAGCAGAAAGAAGATCTCTCTATTATCTCTCAGTAAATCTGCCCTTCAAATAAGCATAAACACTAAAAAAAAAAAAATAGTAAGCTTGATTTTTTTTAAAAAGGAAGAAAAAAAATTTTTTTTTAAGTACAAACAGCCTACAGGGTTTGGCAGCCTAAAGGCACCTGGCAGCACTAGTATTGGATGCAGGTGCTGGTCTGAGTCCCAGCGGCTCCTCTTTCAATCCAGTCCCTGCTAACATGCCAGGGAAAGCAGCAGAGGATATCATTTGCATGAGAATGACTGGATACCATTTGTATAAGAACAATTGATTGCCTATCCTTTGAATGGGAACAATTGATTGTACATACAAAACAAAGAAAGGTGGTTCCTCCTCCCTAGGCAGGAAGACAGGAACTAGCTGACCAAGGGAAAAAGACTCTCCCTTTCTCCCTCTCTCCCTCCCTCCCTCCCTCCTCCCCCCCCCCCCCTGCTCACCGGGAGTTGAGATATAAATACCTCAAACCCTCCTCGCTTGTGCCTCTGTGACCCTGGTCTTTAAAAGCAAGAAGCAGTGGGCAGTCCAGGTGCATTCTTTATCAGGGTCCATGGCACCAAGTCCATTGCTGCAGGACAACAAACAGATGGTCCTACAGATTGGGCCCTTGCATCACATGAAGACCAGGAGGAAGCTCCTGGCTCCAGGCTTCAGCCTGGCCAACCCCAACCAGTCACTGCAGCCACTTCAGGAAACAGCCAGAGAATGGAACACCTCTGTCTCCCTCACTCCCTCTCTCTCCCTGTAACTCAACCTTTCAAAAAAATTTATTTATGTATGCATATACATTTGTATGTATGTATTTTTATTTTATGATACAGTTCCATGGGCTGTGAGATTTTGAAGAACCTCACAAAATCCCAACCATT